GATAATCAAGCTTCAACGATGGGCTCTAAAAGTAGAACAAGATTTCTTCGATGCATTTCCAGTCCTACATGATTTTCTTGAAACTAACGAAGTTAAAATTGATAAAGCAACAGCTACTACTATACAAGATCACCTCAAATTTTTAGCTTCCAACCTCAGGTTATTTTTAATTATTTATTTTTCTTAATTCTTCTACTAAGTAGATAATTTGACAACACTCAGTAAATTATACTGGATAAAATATTACTGATGAGCCGGTATTCAATGAAACCTCCCTCCCAAAAAAGTAAAAGTAGAAATAATTACTGTATAGTATTGCCGACGGGGAGGTGGTTTCTAAGTTCCACGGTTTCGTCATAGACACCCCGGAAGAACACCGCAACGAGAAAAACCGTGTATTATGTCGTTTATATCACGGAGTGAAGTTTTTTTTTTTTAATGTACATTTTGTCGGTTTATGCGAAAAATTTGACAAACTATGTCTTTTGTCTGAGAGTATTGCGCGTTCTACCACTGATTTCGCGGAAATTCAAGCCGTTTACTAGACAGGTATGTAATTAAAAACCACGTTCCTTTTTCACTTTCAAATACAGCGGTTTGACTATATCATAAAAACAGCTGTGGTTATTATACAAAATTGTATGTGAAGTTTGCGGTTTCTTTACTCACACACACTGTATAATAATAATTATCGTTATCCTTACGTCTTTCGTTTTCTTTACTCGCAACTATCACGATACCTATAGAATATAACACAAACTTCTAGTTAAAGACACAATAACATCATTATTTATTTTTATAATAGTTGGCACTTAATCACTCCGAAATAATTACTATAGATATTATACTAGATTTCTATGTAAATCGTTTGCGACGATTCCGCTCGTCACAAACGTTCGTCTCCTATTTGCAGTATTGATAGTTGATTGATTTTATTTTTCCATACGCATTGAAATTAATGACAAATAAATGACAATTGAGAGGGATAGCGTAAAATACCAAAATTAATGTTTATGAATGTTTGTTTTTGTATTTGTAGATGAATTATTACTGATCCAGTTAACGTTTCGCGCGGGCCATGTCATCTTGAGACTAACGCTACATTTTGTATGTCCACGAAACAACACGTATTCCGTGAATATACAGTGCACCAGCTAGTATATTTAATGGATAAAATACGATTACAAAAATAACCAGTGGACCGGAAGAAAAACCGTTGCGCTCTGGAAAACATCGGACTGCCCGCGACGGTCGCGCCGTTGATTACTCGTGTACTCCCGAATGTGCGGTGCGAGCAATGCGCAAATATGAAACGAATCTCCGGACCAAAAGAACCGTAATAATATTATGTTGATGAATACGTTTTTTCTCTCAGACACAATTTGTAGTTTAGTAACAGCCACATATTTCATATAGTGTCATCAAATAGGTAATGATATTTTGTTTACAGGTCGAATGTGATTTTGTTATGTTATAATGGCACGTTTAGCGATATGATGTCAACCAGTATTTGTTTATTCGTATACAATTTGTAACAGTTACACTGATCACAATAAAGAAATACGTTGTGTTTCATAAAATTAGTATTTTGTTTTATTATTTTAGACTCTAAAGAAAACCATAATAAGTTTTAAATTGATATGTTTTGTTTTTGTTTTTTGGAAAGCACTTTTGAGGACATTAAAAGTGCTCAACACCATACTATTCAACAACCTATTTTATTAGGTCTATGTTTTAACAATTTTATGAGTTGATTTTTCAGAAACATTACACTGCAGAAAATTATGAAACGCTGATAAATTCAAGCAAACATAGGTGCCAATCATTTTAATTTTAAGTTCCTTGATCAAAATATTGTTCGTTGAATTTAATGATTTACGATCACCTGTAATATATTATTAAAAAAAAAATTACTGCTTGGTTGTCTCGTATCGGACTGTTTTTAATGTATAATTTATATTTCAGATTCCAAGTGTGGCAAGTGTAACTGTAATAAGGTTTTTCATTTTTTTTTAAATAAATAAATAATAATTTATAATAATAAATAAAAACCCGAGGTAGTGATAACAGTAAAATAAAAACTTTTGCGAAGTTATTTTGCAGACACGCAGTTTATTGAACACAGATGCTGTTTTGGGCAGGCTGTTTTTTTTTTTTTTTTTGTTAAATTTCCCAGTTCGATGTCCTGAAAATGATAAAATACCGAACAAATGGCCATGGAAAAAATTAAATCAAACATTTTAATTTTATTTACTAGCTAGGTCTGTATTTACAGTATATACTCAAATTTAAAATACATAAATGAATAGCGTTTTCCACTATGTGGGCATTTGATCGAATTTTGAAATACAATGTGTAAAGTATAATCAGTTTTATACATAAATATTATTTGGCACAGTTATTTTGTTACAGTTCCAAACACTTTTAAAATTTGTACACAAAGCTTTTTTTTTTATTCGTTATGTACATTAATGTATTATTAAAATTTAAAATGCGAAGAAGAGAGAAAAAACAAGGGAATTATTTAATACATAATCGGACAAAAAAATAAAATCCTGTAACTATCCTATACGAAGTTTTCATCGGCTTTTGTCATGCAATAACTATTTTTAATATTTACATTATTATTTTTTTAGTTGTATATGAATTAAAAATGGTGCACACAAATATAGGAATAACGAAAAATGAAATAATCATCTTATTTTTTATAACTATAGTACATGTAAATGTTTATTGCGTAGTTTATTTGTCGTGAGGTTCATCAGGACTAGTATCGAGGCCGACGAAGTCCTTTACTTTTACCTTGGTTTATTACAATGGTTTTACTTATATTCAGTTGTGTTCCCATCAAATTTTTTGAAAGTAAATTATTAAAAAAAACTGTTTCTTACATAGTGTGTACTATATGCATCTATTAATTTATACTGTTTGCAAGGAAAAATAAATCAATAATTATTATACGAAAAATTAATTTAAATTACTGAAATATAACACTTAACTTCTTCTTAAACGTTCTAAAATTCGTAAGAAAATTTTGAATTTTTTTTATTATAATTAATGAAATGTATGCAATTTTATTACTATTTCGGTTTTAGTGATATAGTGATATAAGTGATATGAACAGGTGATAATAATAATAATAATAGATCACAATTTTTCATATTATTATTTTTAAACTATTTGAGAGTACCCGGATATCCGAAAATTTTCAAAAAAAATTAAAATACCTATTATTACTTCGCAATTATTTAGTTTTTAATCGTATATTTAAATTTAAGTAGTTAATTTTATTTTTATCATAACTATTAAAATATTTTTATCTGCAAGGCCACACAAATAAAAAATGATATACATAAATTATAATAATTAAATTCAATTGACCAACTTGGATTTAATGACATAGTAGTGGGTAGGGTCATTGAATGTAAATTTGAACAAACTAAAACATGTGAGAACGTCGAATGAAAAAAATAATAAATGAACCGAACTCGAATCTATTGGTGGGAATAATAATTTACTGATATAACAATAGACGGTGAAATAAAAAATAATCATAAATAAAGATCATTAAAAAATGAGCCTTAAATTGATTTAAACCGATCACTTGCGCGACTAACCTAGTAAAAATCAACTCGTTTTCTAATTGAATAAAACTAACGTTATCCAGTGAAATTTCTGACGTGTAGCGTTTTATTCGAGTATAATCAGTTAAAACGCATTTAATATTAAAGTGCAATAATTAAAGAAATAAAAAGATACGGACTAAAGATGAGTGGGTTACTGTTGTAAGCGAGAAGTTGGAGTATAAGTTATAGTGAGAAATTTGATGTATCTGTACGCAACGATTAATCTATGCTAGTGAAAAGTGACTCTGAGCGGATATTTTAAAAGGCCGTAATATTTACAATTTGAAAATAATATACTTCTTAATTTTTTTCAGTTTTCCTATGATTTTTTCTGGTTTTTCTCATTAATTAAGAGAACTCTTGAGCAAATTACCTTTCTTAAGTACCCCAATCAAATTTCCTTTCGGAAAAAGTACTACACTTGAAAATCGGAAAAAAAATTTAGTAAAAAAAGTTTTTTATTGAAAAAAAGAAAATAAAGAAACTAAACATTATTGTGAAATCGATATATTCCGCGGTCCGCAGAATCTAAAAAAACGTTTTAGTTGAAGTTAATAATTTTAAACAGAGATTAATGTCGATTTTTTTTCTCGGTTTTCGATTGAAAACTATCCCAGTGAAGTAAGAAGAACCAAACGAATGCCTTCTGTTTTAATATTATGTATTCTGCTGTTAGAAATATACAATAATAATATGGTATTGGTTTTGTCTGTTCTATACTATAAGAACGTGAACCTTGTGTTGAAATTAACAGAGAATAGATTTAAACCATTTGGTTTATTTAAATGAGAAAACCGTGTTTTCGCCAACGTACAAATTATATTGTTGGGAACATTTGTTTACGGAATGATGATTTTTTTTTTAAACTGTCTTTGATAAAGCGATGATTTAATTTTGGAAAATTAAGTGTAGTATTTACGTATGTGTACGAGTTATTTGACAATGTTTTAGCTTTTTAGCATTTCGTATATATTATAGTGAAATTCTTTTATTGAAAATATTTCATGTAAACCATAGTCGCGCCCGGAGTCATCGATAATGGTTGAAAACCAAAAAGTTCAACAATATAATATATTGGTATTTGATCATATTTAAGTATAGAATATTCTGTAAAACTCGTATAATGAAGTTAAAACTCAACTATTATGGTTTATATTTTGTAAAAATTGTGTATTTATGACTTCTTAAAAACTTATATTAGTTTATTCATATGTAATGGTAGAAATATTTTTAATTAAATGTTATTATCAAGTGAAATTTTCACTGATATGCATTATCAAAACGATAAACGAAAATGGCCTTTTATACGTTATTTAAGTAGATAATTTTTAATAGCTAACCGCTACTTATATATAACTATAATAACTGAAATAACAAATCAGTAAACAGAATAAGAGTTTGGAAGAACAGGATAAGATATTGACAGTATAAGACATCTAATGACAATATGCGGTGACGTAATATATAAAGTTGAGGGCTTTCTTATGGTATTTTTTCAAAAGAACTGTGACCTTGATGAGGCTTTGTCTGGTATTTTATGTGACAAAAGGATTTCAATATACCGCTCTTGCTTTCCAGTTCGGACTCCCACCTAGAGATTCCACATCTCTCCTCACCTCATCTTTCTATTTCAAACGGGGATGTTTAATTCGATTTTTAAACTATTTAAAACTCCAAAATGTTTTTATAGAACATAAATCACAATATTATAACATGGCCACTGATGACAGGTTTTTTTTAAAAATAATAAATGTAGGTAATTAGTTATTGCTAACTTGTTTAATGCAAAGGGTAAGCAAGTTGATAAAGCATTCAAATATAGGTATTATTGATCCGACTTATGATGTAAAATTAGTACATTTTGTTTATTGCACGCATGCGTAAAACGCTTGACACAAATAGTTATATAGATATAACTACTTCGTGCTTTATTTAAACATACGAATAAGTATGTATACAACACATTGTTATAAGTATTTGTCGTGTATACAGCATGTGTGTCATTCACATTATATACACCAAAAGTTATATATGGTTTTTGATTGCCAAGACTATCGTTTTACCGACAATAATGTATTTTTTTCTTATTATTATATTTATATTTGTCAAAAAAAAAATTGATAAAAATTGTCAATATATATAATTTTAATGAATTAATTTACCATTCTATTTTTTTTTATCTGTTGAACGAGATTGATTTGTCGAATAATTTTTAAAAAAATTTGACTATAAAAAGGCATACCTAATCGTATAGCTTGTCGAGAATACTTCAGAGAGATCACGGCGATCATTCTGCAGGTGTGTATTTTTTAAAGAATTTATTGATAATAATATTTAATTATCTTATAATCGATACTGTTTGCACTATTATATCTTGAGAACCTTAACTGGTTTTTAATGCGACAGTTATTATTATTGGAGTGTTGATGGTGTTAGAAAAATGATAAGGCACAATATTTCTCCGTTGTTAACCGTTTTTCTCAAACTATCATTATGCTATAATAATCCATTATAGTTCTTGTGCATTATCGCATAGTCACGCGAATTTTATACTATATAATGTGACCCCCTAACGTGGTGTCTTCCATTCTCTCTCTCTTTCTTTATTTCTACCTGACGTGGATTTTAATGACTACACAAAGGTTTTAGATTTTTATGTTTTTGCTTAGAACTATGTTTTTGGAGCAGGATTGGGAAAATCTCGACGTTATTGGTGTTGTTCCTGGCTGCTGTGAATACAATAATAGTTTTTTTGAAAACTGTAAAATGATACAGATATTATTATTACTGTTATCTATACACTATACATAGTAAAAAAAAAATGAATAGTATATGTTATGTTGTTAGTATTTATTCCCATTTGAAAAAAGAAAAAAAGGAGATAAAAAATTCAGTTTGGAAATCGTTCAAATAAAAATACTTTTGGATTTAGCATAAACAAACACGGCTGGTATTGAATTCTTCAAAATATTCCGTACAGCAGAAATGTATTACTACATTTCATTGAACTTTTCGAAGTGATAAACTATATATATATATATATATTATTATTATATTATAATATGTCTTGGGAGTATTTCTATTTTCCATTTATTTCTAATCGCGTCTTCCTATTTTATTTTAAACGCGGCTAAAATTGCAAACAACTCCGATTTCTAGATATCTACACCAAAAACCAATGTCAAACCTTATCTTGACAAGCACTTTGTATTGCGTTTGCTACCAATACGCGACACCTTGCAATATATATTATATTATTTATACCTATATAGTTCAATAAACCACGTACGAGTCAATAGTTTCCATCCTTTTTATTAAAACCATCCGGGTTTGTACAAACAAGATAATATACGTAACAGACAATGATTTATCACCATTGGGGTTAGCTAGTTAAAATGTTTACACGCGAAAATAAAAATACGTACGTAGATTAAAAATATAATACAGACGCAATGACATTTTTTGGTGAACAATATTCGCGTCATTCGCGGTAGATACATTAGTTGTTTTATGTTCCAAGGGCACCATAATTGAATAGCTGTGATAATTTATCACGTGTGATATTCATGCATTTTACTTAGATAAACTTCATATTTATACAACCATTTTAAAGGAATCTATTTACATGTGTATAAAACACACGTCATCATCGTTATAAAATATCATAATATTATTTTTAGAACCAATATGACTTTTCTGAAATTCCCGATATTATGGTATTTATCGCCGATAATCAATATACCATATCAAAATAACTGTGAGCTGTAATCGGTTGAAGTTTTTATTTTTCGTATTCCAAAGAAATTGAACGAATTTTTGGTAAAATTGGTTTTTAAAACGACCCTATTCCGATTCCGATGTCTGTTTAATATGCCGATATTCACTACAGATTATCATTGTCAATTTGGCTTTTACACGTTTTATTATTATTTGTTTTCAATGCGTATATTTTACGAATATCGTCTATTAACCATGAATATGTGTTTTCATTATGAATGTAGATATTTTGTTGGCGTTCTGAAAGAGCTTTACGCCCTCGGCACGCTACTGTGATAATACCGCGATGATACCGTACAATATAGTACACTCCGAAACCATTTTGATGATACCCAAACGATATTAATGTAAACTTTATACATTTTTGTAATCGCTTAACAGTACACTTATATTTTACCACCCGGGGCAATATACCAAAAACATCATTTTTTATATCAAACAAACGTAACAAACATAATACGCACTGTTTTAAATGGATTATAATTCAATTCAAGCGGTTATATAGGTACCCGTATCGAGTTAATGGGACGATACACTTGTAAAAACGCAACTAGTAATATTAACGCGAGAATTTTACCCTCATATCCGATAGGCGAATTACCGTGGTGTGTGGTTAAAAGGGCCTCCGATGTACTTTTGTAGTATATATTTTTATTTTATTTTATTGGTTGTTCCCCCGAAACGGAAAATAATGAAAAATATGTATTTATGTGTATGTACGCGCGTGTATAGGTAAATAATATTAAACAAACAGTATAAGGGTAAAAGTAAATAAGTATCGGTTTATGCAATGGACACCTATATATATATATATATATATATATATAATATATTGGGTATCGAGCCCCGGCACTTAGTTGAGAGGTTTTGTTTATATATATATATATATATATATATATTGTCTTAAAAGGCAGTTTATGAAACGTTGATAAATAGAGGGGGTGCGCTTCTTTGCTTGTCTAGGTGGCGGCGAAGAATTCGGCGGCTTTCCGACAGTTTGATTTATGTGTGCCACCTTTTCACGTACCCTTTTCGACTTACAAAAAAAAAAAAGAAAAAACCTTATTCGGGCCATGTGCTTAAGCGTGTAAACGTGCGAGTCGCTCGCACCGGTATTAAATTGGAAACGACCGAAATAATAATACATGAGAAAAATCTGAAAACTAAAACGTAACTGGGTCTTTCTCTCTACGCTTTGAAGGAAGAACGAGTAAAAAAAAAAAAAAAAAAAAAAAAAAAAATTT